AATTTGTTTTGGTTAATTATGTTTAGATTTTGTTTTGTGTTTTGGTTTACTTAATTTTTAATGCTGGTTTAATTTTGTATAATTAATTTTATCTGTAATTATTTTGATTAATAATTATAATTCAAATTTAATTTTAAATCTGGCTTAATTTTAATTTATATTATATTTTAATTTTAATTTTCATTTTCATTTTCATTTTATTAATAATTTTAAAATGGAAATCATATATAATAACATTATATCAATATTACTATAAAATATTTCATAGCACTAAAAACGCCATAAAAAAATAAATCATAGCACTAATAAACTATTATAAAATATTAATTTATAGCTCATGAATAAATGCTACAATAACTTCATTTACCATAGCGTATAAAAAACGCTATTATAGAGGGGGGTCTACCATAGCTGCGGCTAACATAGCGTTCATGGAAACGCTACGAAAGGGATATATTAGCGTTTTCATTGTGCTTACAAAACAAATATTTCTTGTAGTAAAAGTTTCAGACAAAATATACCCTTTATTCAGAAAAAGTAGAGAGAGAATTATCTATGTTTTATTCAGTTTCCAAGGAAACATTTATTTCTCTTTCTCAAACTTTTTATTTGTTTTTCTTTCTCCACCCTCGTATTTTCATCTCCGTATCGACAACCACCACTTCCTCTCAAGTAACCATGTCTGCATCCACCACTTCCATATCTATAATCACCACATCCTCCACTCCAGTTTCCACCGCTACATCAACAACATACACCAGCTCTGTATCTCTTCATGTCGATTAACCACATCCACCAACTTTGTATCCACCTATGTATCCACATCCACCACCACCTCTTCATGTTGAGTAACCACATCCACCAATTTCATGTTGAGTAACCACATCCACCATTCATAGAATTTTGTACAAGTGAGTTGGAGAGGATCGAGTGAATTTTAATCACAATTCTTCAGATTGCAAGCAGAATTTTACATCCATAAATTAACAAAAAAAATTGATCAGAAAAAAAAACAAAATTTTGAAACGAGATTGAAAATCAAAAGACATAGAGGATTCAAGAAAGACGTGTTGGAAACCACCACCAATCTCTCTTTCTCCACCATTTCTCCACCACCACCACCTTCCAGTTCACCATCAGTCCACCATCCTCTCTCACCACTATCTCCGACCACCGCGTCGGAAACCACCACCAATCTATTTACCTCAACCATCTCTCCCCTAGCACCTTCAGATCCTCGCTGTCCTCTCTCACCACTATCCCCAACCACCGCGTCGTAAACCACTACCAATTTTTCTTCCTCCACCATCTCTCCACCACCACTAGCTTCTTCCCGTCCACCATCAGATACTCGCCGTCCTCTCTCACAACTATCCCTGACACCGCGTCGGAAACCACCACCAATATATCTTCCTATATCATCTCTTCACTTCAGATCCTCGCCATCATCTCTTCCTCTTTGTAGAAAATAGATCTGAGAAAAATATGGGATAAATATCTAACTAATGAATTTTATTTATAAATTATTTTTTATTTTATTACACTCCAATTTTTTACCAAATAGCTAATCACTAAAAAAGATGAGCGTGGATAGTTAGAGTTAGAAAAAGAGCATGTTGGACATTACACAACAATAAAGTGTGTCTCCATCCATAAATGCCTCTATGTGTAAATTGAAAGTGATAATGTGTCTTAATGTGAAAAAATCTCAACTGTCATCACATTTATAATAAAAGTTTTGTAAGACCACGATTTTGACAATATAGAAAAACTGAATATTTTAAAAATATAAATATTAAACAAATTTAAAGAACAACAATTGATTTCAGAAATACGATGAACAAAGAAGTGTGTGTAAAAGTGAGACATTTTTTCTTTAATTTTGTATTGCCCCAGCCAAGATACAACCATACGTCGTCTATACACTAGTAAAAACATCCGAAATAGCCATTACCAGTTCGTGGCTAGATTGACAAAATTTGTGGCTGCACAAAAACTTGCCACTGGTTTTTTTCTTAAAAGTGGGCTATATAGGGTCGTAGCTAAATAATATGTGGCTCGTTAGCCACTGTTAGGGTTTGAGTTGGTTAAAATTTTGGATTAAAGTTAAAATAATATTTGAAGTTAAAGTTTCAAAGTCAGTGTTTAAGTCTTTATATGATTAGAATTATAATTTGGTATGTTTTATTTTGAGGTTTATGGTATTAGATTTAGGGTAGTAAGTTTGAGTTTTTTTTTTCTTAAAATATATATATTTGGATTTAAAGTTTAAGATTTAGATAGTAAGATTGAATAAAATTAGATCTATTATTTTGTATGTAGGTTTAAGTTTGTGGGTGTAGTTAGAGTTTTGTATACAGACACGAAACAACAATGGCTATACTGTGGCTAAGACTCTAACTACGGATTTTGAGTGACTTAAACCGTGGCTGTCATAGCCACCGAAAATTAGTGTTTTACTGTGGTTGATTTTGCTACGGTTTAACAACGAATTTGACCAAGTTGTGGTCTTTCTGCATTTGTGGCTTTATCTTGTGTTTTTAGTGGCTCTTTTTAATAGCCCCGGAATTTTGTGGCCAGTTAGTGGCTATTTCAGCTGTTTTTAGAAGTGATATTTTGCAACAATCAAAATAGAAGCTGACAAAAAGATTTCTTGTGCGTACTCTCAGGACAACAAAAAAAGAAGAAGAAGGATGTGTGGATATATTGGGTTTTCTCCGTTATATTTTAGAACGAGAGAATAAATTAATTTATAGTCTAACATATTATGGAGTCTATTTTCTCAATTAAATTTGAACATTTGAAGAGAGAAAATAAAGTACCGAAAATTTCATCAATTAATGAATTGATTAAGACACACTGACAAAATTAAATTCAGCATGGATCAGATACAGAAAACAAACCTGAAAGCAGAAAGACATGTTACTGGCTGATACTCATTACTTGAGTCAAAACCAAACCTAACTCTAAGCCCATATTGGCGTGGCATGACGCGCACATAGTTTAGTTTAAGTTCACTCATCTCGACTAGGCTGGGCACAGTACTCGCTACTTGATTTGGTTTGGTTTGAAAAAACAAGTATTTGCTCCAATCAAGTTGAGTAACAAATAAACAGATTTTTTTATTCGCAAGTACAAGTTAAGTATAAGTTCATTTTAATTTTTAACTACTTGATTTGTTACTTGGTTTATTACTTGTTATCTTTTACTTGTTACTTATCATATATTACTTGATTTATTAAATACTAAGTATATATTTCATTAATTAATTAAAATTTATTTATTTTATGAGTGGCCACAATTACTTGTTACTTGCTTCATGTTCACTACTTGGTTGGTAGACGATCCTTAAAGTCGAATACTTGTTTTGACTAAGACGTGTATCAACTAGTCTATTTAAAATGCATTCAAATACAAACAAATACAAAATAATAAAATAAAATTAATTATTCAGCGTTGTTTGGTTTATTATTCGTTTTTGTTAATGAACAATGATATATTTTCCTAAATCATAGTAAAACAACTCATTTATATTTCAATTTTTATAAGTGAATCAAACATAAGTGATATATTTATATAAATATTTTGAAATTTTTATTTCTTAATATAATCTATTTAACGAATGACTAAAAATCAGAAAAACAATGACAAAATGAAAACAAAGACATATTATTTCTATATAATAAATTTATTTACTTTTAAATTTTAACTAATTATCAAATTATTTACCAATAGTTATCAAATAATTTGTAAGAAGTTTACAAATAACAAGTAATAAAATAAGGCAAGTAACTTACAAGTCTATCAATTTTTCGCAAGTACTTGAAACTGCAAGTACTCTTTTTTAATAAAGTAAGTACAAGTCCAAAATTTGAATTCGTACAAACCAAGTCAAGTATTAAGTATACCAAACATACTAAATATTCAGCTTGCGTCGACCCCTAATCTCTACAATTGTTCCAAATATCTCACTTTTTTGGAATACTCCACAATATCTACATATCCATTTTATGTATCTCATACAACAGACATCCGTTGAAATAATTCGATGTCAAATGATGGTCACAAGTGAAAATTAGGTAAAAATGAAAGTACAACAAAATTTACAAATGGAATATAAAATCTGTTTATTTGGCAAAAAAAAATACAAAATCTGTGAGTATGCGTTCTTTTTGGTGTACGGGCTTTTTGCAACAAATTGTAGTTGAATTAAATAAAATTATGGTAAATCGTAGGTTAATAATTCGTTGGTATTTCGTTGTTAAATGTAAGATACCAACAAAAATTTTATTTTCTTATTTGGCTATTATTAGCAATGAATATATAACGAATTTCCAATGAATTACAAAGTAGGTGCATAAGTTATTCACAGCGAACTGGTTTTTATGCAACAAAGCTTGTCATAGTTAAATTAAATGGTAAATTATTAGTAAAGAATTTGTTAGTATTAGATGTGCTAAACTTAAAATGTATTGTACCGTACATTTTAAATTTAGTACATCTAAACAAATGAACTCGACTCATCCAACACAATAGATTCGAGAAAGTGGAGCCAAGTGACAACACATCTATGACCTGGTAATACATACAGTTTTGCACATCCAACCATCCTTTCTGCCAAAGATTCCACCAGCATCCATCTAAAAGACTGAAACTTTCTTTTCTTTACAGTTGAAAGTCACGAATATGAACAACCAATTCGAGAAAATCAAGAATACAGATCCATTTGTGATTTTCACCTTTCAGGTCTGGAGATGTCATACCAACACACATAAACTTGACGTTCTTGTAGTGCCCATTGACACTATCATTCTACATTAACGATTGAGTATTGACACACATTTCATTGACTAAGCAAATAATAAGAAAATTAAAATAAAGTGAACAATCTTTACTTATCATGTTCAATAACATATATACAACATCAGTTTGTGGGGTTAACTTTAAGCCTATATAGTGTCCATAACATGACGTTAAATTACAAAAAACAAGTAAAGAAATCATAGACCCTTGGAGCCAGGAAGATCAATCCATTGAAGTTGAACCTCAACCTCACCGCACTCAACATTTTTTAGTCTAAGGACTATATCCTGAATGAGCTTACCATCAGACCAGATGATCCGAGAACCCTCCGCTAAGCAATTGTCTCGGCTAGGCTGGACTGTAGTCACTATGGTCCCACACGGGAGATCTTGCAAGTGCATAGTCAATGCATTGATGTACGTCTTGATCTCGAATTCTGCATCTCCCATTTTGTCGTCTTTGGTGAATGTATCGTGATCATACACCGTCTTGGAAAGAAAAAAACAATCGATCAAGGGTTATTTTATAACATATGTTAAACGAGAATATTTTTATATGGACGTTGCTTACCAAGAGGACTTTGAGTTTGGGATCGGTTACTGAGAGAGTCAAATCTTCATTCCACTCAGGATTCACGTCATTGTAAATAACTCGAGTCTTCAATTTCTGCCCATTCAGTTTTCTCATTCGTTTAGTCATGAAAAAAAAAAAAAAATTTCTTTCGTTTCAATATATTGAGCTAGTATAAAAATATTTTCGTTTATAATGATTTTAATATTTCTTGAATTTATATAAAATGTGAAGGGCTTTTTGCAGAATTGACCTGAAACTTGAAGTCAACCACAAAACTAACCTCCTTTTTTTTGGAATTTTATTTTGCCCAATTCACCCCACAAGTTCATATAATTCACGAAAATGCCATCAATTTTTTTTTTTTTTCGAAAATAACATATTTACTCTCTCACCCTCATCATCTTCAAGTAATTACAAGATTGTCATTGTCATCAATACTCCAACAACCATGAACAACCAATTTTGAAGCTCTTAATGCCTCCAAATTCCATTTACCCTTCTTCTTTCTCTATTCTCATGAACTAAACAACACATTACAACACATATCTCTCNTTACTCTCTCACCCTCATCATCTTCAAGTAATTACAAGATTGTCATTGTCATCAATACTCCAACAACCATGAACAACCAATTTTGAAGCTCTTAATGCCTCCAAATTCCATTTACCCTTCTTCTTTCTCTATTCTCATGAACTAAACAACACATTACAACACATATCTCTCACTTTCTCTCCACAATGAGCTAAAAAAATCCAAGATTTTGATCTACATTTTTTAGGGTTCATATAGTCAAAGAAATTAAAGATTCAGGGTGGATTACCTTCGTTTGAGCTCCTGAGTGCTTGATTCTACAAGTTCTAGGGTTCATATAGTCAAAGAAAGTGCTCTCACCAATTGAAGGTATGAAATCGAGTTATTTTTTGCGATCTGTTCGTCCAGACGACTGAAATTTCAGTCGTCTGCTTTCGTCCAGTCAACGCAGAAGTTATTTTTGCAATTGACTTTGCAATTTGTTTCCAGAGACAACTGAAATTTCAGTCGTCTACTTTATTTTGGCTACAAAAAAAATATCTTAAGAATCTACACGACTAATATTTCAGTCGTCGTATGTTAGTTTTGCATTTGACTAGAAAATTTCAGAATTTTGACTTTTTAGGACGACAGAAATTTCAGTCGTCTGCGAAAAAACTGAAATATCAATTTTTTACTGGAACGCACGACTTACAATAGGTTAGTTTTGCAATTGTGAAAAAAAACTTTAACTTTCTAGACGACTTACAATTCAGTTGTCCGCCAGACGACTTACAATTCAGTCATCCAGGATTTTATTCCGAGATTCTGGTCAAACCTCGTCCGCCAGTCGTCTAGATTTTTTTAAATATTGAAGTTTGTTTTCGCAATTGCAAAACTAACCTACGACGACTGAAATGTAAGTCATCCAATTTCAATAAAATATTGATATTTCGTTTTTTCGCAGACGACTGAAATGTAAGTCGTCCTAAAAAGTCAAACTTCTGAAATATTCTAGTCAAATGCAAAACTAACTTTCGACGACTGAAATTTCAGTCGTCTGGATTTTTTTTATCAAACATACCCAGACGACTGATATTTCAGTCGTCCCAACTAACTGATTTCAAAGTCAATTGTAAAAATAACCTCTGCGTTGACCGGACGACTGAATGTTTAGTCGTCTGGACGACTTACATTTCAGTCGTCTGCTTCGATCTCTAATAAACTTTCTTTTTCTTTCTTCTATGTTTGCTGATGTGTTTTATTTTTACTATCTCAGATGATGCATCAGTTACGTGCAGTGTATGGAGAATGGTTGTTGGAAGATGGTTGTTGGAATTTTGTGGTTGATCGTTTCAAAGGAGCAAGATTGTTTTTATTGAATGAAGATTCAACACATGCTGAACTTGTGGCAATGGCTCAAGAAGATTATAACCTGGACATGAGCACAGTCNATGCACTGCTTTCAGAGTTGCGGTTGAGCGCGGTGAGGCGCAGGTTCTCCTTCAGAGTTTACAAGTCAACAAAAACTCTCTTTGTGGCAACATGTCGGGTTAGTGGTTGTCAATGGAAGATCAGAGCAAGTGTGAAACATGGGACTAAGACGTTTTGGGTAACCAAGTATTTGAAAACTCATACATGTTCCACCGGAGAAAGAATCGCTGGGCGGAAACACTCTACTCCGAAGTACATTGGTCGACTCTTCATAGATCGTGTTGGAATCATTGATGGGTTGAATCCGCAGCATATCAAAGATTCAATGAAGAACATGTTTGGCATGACACTTGATTACACCACTTCATACAGAGCATTGTTATATGCGCAAGAATTGGTGAGAGGATCCGCGGAAGATGGGTATGAGCGACTTCCTTCATATTTGGAGCAAATCAAGGCAACAAATCCGGTTTCTATCACTGCTATAGAATATGATTCTCAGAAAAGATTTAAGTAATTTTTTCTCGCTTTTGGAGCTTCTATCAGAGGTTTTAAGTATCAGAGAAGGGTCATTGTGGTGGATGGGACTCACCTAAGTGGAAAGTATGAGGGTACTATGTTGGTTGCAGCCGCACAAGACGGTAATTTTCAGATATATCTATTGGCTTTTGGGATCGTAGATTCTGAAAATGATGAATCTTGGGAATGGTTTTTCACAAATTTGGTGAGTTGTATATCTGCTGAGCATCCTCTGGTGATAGTCTCTGACAGGCACACAAGCATTATAAGTGCATGTGAGAAGGTGTTTCCTTGGGCAACACGAGGAATATGCTATTATCACCTTCAAGAGAATATTGTCAAAAAGTATAAAGGGAAGCATCTTTTGTACTTGGTGAAAGATGCTGCTTATGCTCATACACTTTACGGCTTTGATCGGTACATGGCTGAGATACATAGTGCAAATCCGGATCTTCATGAGTATCTGGTGGATGCCGATGTGAGCCTATGGTCAAAGGTTCATTTTCACAGAGACATGTACAACTTAAAAACGAGCAATATCGCTGAATCAATTAATTCCGCACTGAAGCGAGCAAGGATTTCCTATTCAGTTCCTGTTGGAGTTCATAAGGGAGAAGCTAGGAAGATGGTATTGGAAAAGGAGAGGAGATGCGTTGAGTCTTACAACTCAACATAGTCGAGGTGTTGAACACTTGCTTGTTGTTCGCGAGGAGATCGCAGATACTCTAAGAGTCCAACAAATTGATGGATGGAAGTTCTTTGTGAAAGGTGGCCATAGAGACTGCAATGTTGANGAGGAGATGCGTTGAGTCTTACAACTCAACATAGTCGAGGTGTTGAACACTTGCTTGTTGTTCGCGAGGAGATCGCAGATACTCTAAGAGTCCAACAAATTGATGGATGGAAGTTCTTTGTGAAAGGTGGCCATAGAGACTGCAATGTTGATCTAGAGCTTTCCAAGTGTGATTGTGGTGTCTATCAAGTTGAGAAAATACCTTGTTGTCATGCTATAGCAGCTGGAACAGCAGCTGGTTCGCATATCTCCACACTTGTATCTCCGGTATATTCAAAGCATACTTTGTTTGCAGGATATTCAGAGAATATATATCCTTATGTTGGACAACAAATTGAGGCACGCACATGCTTTCCTCCGGAAATAAAGCGTGGTCCAGGGAGACAGAAGAAATCAAGATGGCAATCATGGTTGGAGCTATCCAGGATGAGAGGACACAAACCCCGGAAGCAACACAGGGTTTATAGGTGCTCAGGATGCAAAGAAACGGGCCATAAGCGTCCACAATGTAAGAACCCGGTTGAATAGCCTTAGAGTAAGTCGTCCAGACGACCTTCGATTCAGTCGTCCAGAAAAAAACTTCACAGACGACTTAAAGTTAAGTCGTCTGCAAGTCGTCCAGAAAAAAAACTTCACAGACGACTTTCAGACGACTTAGTTGGATGTTATTTATGTCCTTATTTATGTCTTTATTTATGTTTTTATTTATGTCTTTAGACGAAGATGAATGTTATTTATGTCCTTATTTATGTCTTTATTTATGTCTTTAGACGACCTTTTTTTGCTCCTTACTTTAAATCGTCTGTGAAGTCTTTTTTCTGGACGACTTTCAGACGACTTAACTTTAAGTCGTCTGTGAAGTCTTTCTTCTGGACGACTTTCAGACGACTTAACTTTAAGTCGTCTGTGAAGTCTTTTTTCTGGACGACCTTCAAAAAAGTCGTCCAGACGACCTTCGATTCAGTCGTCCAGAAAGAAGACTTCACAGATGACTTAAAGTTAAGTCGTCTGAAAGTCGTCCAGAAGAAACACTTCACAGACGACTTTCAGACGACTTAGTTGGATGTTACTTATGTCCTTATTTATGTCTTTATTTATGTTTTTATTTATGTCTTTAGACGAAGATGGATGTTATTTATGTCCAGACGACCTTACTTTCAGTCGTCCAGAAGACCTTAGTACACAAAAATTTTGATTATCATCCGAAAACACAAGTCAAACATTAGTACACAAAAGATTCATCCTAGGTTCAAACATTACTTTACATTATCATCCGAAACACAAGTCACAAAAGATTCATCCTAGGTTCAAGTTCAAATACAACAGTACACAAAAGATTCAAGTACAAAGACAATAGTACACAAAAGCATCAACCTCTTCTTCCGTCATACGTTCCCAAGTTCTTATCATTGTCTTTGTTTTCCCATTCATGGATCAAATTCAGCTCTTCATATATATCCACCGCCATCTTCTCCCTGATAAACTTCCCGTTTCTAGAACAAAGCTCTTTGGGAAAGTCCATCCCAAGAGCATGACACTCAATGTACTTCAGAGCGAAGGGGCCACAATCACCACTTCGGCACTGAGGTACTCCAGTTGATAGTCTCTTATAGGTGTATGGCTCCAATGTATATCGTGTCTTTTGTTCATCAGTTACAGAGCACTCACATAGCAGAAAAGGGACCATGTAAATAAAAGGCTCCATTACCTCATCGAGTTCAACGGGTGAAATATGTCTGATAATGTTGTCCCAGACGACAATGTGCCTATTAGGGATTGATATCCATATAGCAATCCAATGGGTGTCATTGTAGTTCACAGGTGCATAGATATCATCCACATCCCCCCCCCCAAACAT